TCTAATAATAATAAATTTCAGGATAATATTACTACTAATGCAAGTAATGTAATAAGATGAAGTGAAATTAAAATGAAAGAAATCCTAGTCAAAAATGAATAATGGCTGACAATGCTTAATCTAATAATAGTAAAATTAAAGATTATACTACAACTACTACTAATACAACTAATGTAATAAAAAGCAAGTTAAATTAAAATGAATGAAATCCTAATCACAAATGAAAAATGGCTGACAATGCTTCATCTAATAATAATAAAATTCAAGATGATATTACTACTAATACTACTAATGTAATAAAAAGCAAGTGAAATTAAGATGAATGAAATCACAGTGAAAAATGACTAATAAATAATTAAAATTCAACCATGTCTATCACTATTGTAATCAAACAATTGTAATCTTAATTGAATTAATTTAATTAAGTTAATGAAGTGTAGAAGCCCAACCAAGCGACTTTTAAAAGAAAAATAATCAACGCATCTAAAAATAAATTGCATGTATATCCGACAAAGACTTATAGTATGTACATTTAAATAACAGAATTTAGTAATGATATTAATGACTCGGTCGTCCAAGTGAATAGAAATAGCCTATACGGACTTGCTTGACAAGAGAGACAACTCTTTATTTTAAATAAGAGTAGTCTCCCTTACAGCAGGAAATTGTTTTCACAATTGATTCTGTGCTAGAATTCTCCGTTCTATTGAAATAGATTGTCTCACTCGTAGAAAGACAGCGAAAATTTTCCGAGGAATATTTTTTATATATTTATTTAAACATTCTTTATATCACGAAATTAAGCGGAATAAAAAAAAAATCAGGAATGTTATCGATTTAGAAAGGTTGTCCTGTTCAACACTTCTTATATAGTTTTTTGTTCCTGATTTGCTTTTTAGTTACAAGTAGGTACCTCCACCAAAAACGAAAAAAAAAACAATAAAAAAACCCGCATGGAATGATGAATAAAGGCCCCAAAGTCAATAAAACGAAAGTTTTTTTTTTATCAAAATGTTTATGTTATTATTAAGAGGAAAGATCAAATTATTTTTTTTATTAATTCTTGAAATTTTTTAATTCTTTGAAAATTTTGGTTAAAAAAAATCTTGTTTTGTTTACGTCAGCGGCCGACGTAATGATAAAAGTTAATTTTTTTGCGCTTTTTCTGGTGAAACGCGCATTAATTTGGAAATTCTTACAAAAATCAAATAATTGTCGCATTTTTAATGAAACTTTCAGGACATATTCAGAAATAAATGAAATTATTATTTTTTTTTTTTTAGCAAATCTCGGTAAAATAATTTTTTTTTACATATGTTACCACCAACTTATATAATTTCATGAAATTTCGAGAAAATCAAAATCCTTCCTCCAAATTATCTGTAGAACAAGACGGTTTTCTTTTACTTCAATCTTGGAAGCCTCCTCCCAGCGATAACGTGTAATCATTGTACCGGCTGTATCCATAGCTACACCAGTGCTAGATAGTGAAATTGTTTTTAAACGAACTGAACGTCAAGACAACCTCCTCAGCGGGAAAAAGCCTGCTTGGGGAACCGGTTCAGCCCAATCATGCCGCAGCAGGTTTACATAGTAGAGGGTAGCAATCGTAGAGTGATCTGAAAAAAGTACTTAAATTTAAAAAAAAATTTAATCAAACGGGGATATCTTGAGGAATTTGAAATGTTGCTCATCAAAGAAGGTGGAATCATAATTAGAGAAATTTATCTGTTTGAATTGAAAACGTTAAAAGGGGTTATATTATAAGCAACAGAAGAACTTGTAGAAAATAAGGGATTCTTGCTGACTGATGATTTATTGTTATTGAACATTGTTATATCAGCGACTTTTAGCATAGATTATATGTAAAAGCCAGTGTCCTTTACTTTTTTAAACACAAAACAAGTCACACTCTGTTGAATAGAAGAGAGGGTAACATATATTGGTATCTGTATGAGTGGGAGTGATAGTGTAGCGTATGTACCAAATATAGCGTCGGGTTGATTCACTAAATGTAGCAGGAATACCAAAATATATAGGTACTACTATTATTTATATTAATGATTCGTCCACGTACAGGATTCAAGAAATAATAACAACAACTCCAATTTGTTAACAAACAAATATATATTGAATAAAATACAACAACAAGCATGAAATATGAGGACAATAGTCCGAATAATGTATATAGTATACATAATACTTCATCTCAGAAATATAGACAGATACACAAATTAAATATATTTCAAAATGGCTCTTTGTACAATTTTCTCACCAGGACAGTATTAATGTCAAAAATGTAAGAACTAGGATTTACACTCATGGAGACCCCATGTGTCCTTGACAGATAGCAAAATTTGACTATAAAATTAATTTTTACATCTTTCATAGTTTTTTTTTTTTTTTATTCAGGTGTCAAATTTTGGCAATGAAAGCCGGAGATACTTATATTTAGGACAGATTTTAATTAGATGCTAAAATTCTTTTTGGGCTTAAAATCAGGCCTAGACAACCTTTTTCGGACAGTGAGCTACCGTGACACATAAAGTGGATCACACAGCAAAAGAAATAGAAACAAAGTGATTAACACACACACTGCGGCCTGTGAATTGTTTCTAATTTATTCATTTGAAAATAAAAAAAAATATTTGTAAAATAAGAAACACATTTTTTTTCTCTACAGGATATTTGGGTGTGAGCTGCCCAGACCTCACTTTCCAGTTCAAAAGCGGCTCTGAGCCCTTGTGGGAGGAGAATTATTTTCCACTTTCCAACCTCTGTCTCTCTCACAGTCGAGATGTGGCGAACCTCTCACTCTTCTAGGAAAGTGCTTGGACGAACACCATTACTTGGTTCCGCCGGGTCTAACCTTCGCGTCTAAAACCCCCCACTTCCATCCTAGCAAATCATCCACATTCCCCCCCCCGTATTCCCTCGGCGAGAAGTAAGTTCCACTCGAATAGCTTTTTCCAGCGAACCACTGCCCTGTGGAACCGACTCCCAAGAGGATGTTTCCCCGATCACTACAGTCTTAACCTGTTGAAGTCTAGAATCAATCGTTTTCTTTCCCCCGTATCCATATAAACTACCCCATATCATAACTCTCTACCTCGAGTGGCCACCGTGCCTTATACAGGATAAATCTTATTATGAAAAAAGAAAAAAAATTCATCTTAAAAGTTTCCTGTTTCTGAAGCAAAATATACCATCCAGGGTAAGACGATAAACTACATCTAACAGCAAGGCCTCTGATCAGGAGGTTTTCTTAGGAGCTTGGGACCACCTCTTAATTGCTGGTGTTTCCAGGTACACCCTGGCCCGAAGTGGTGACACCTGTCAGAGTTAACCCCAAATTGGGGTCAAAACACTATGAAAGTGTAAAAATAGGTTTTAGTATCAGCAATACATTTTTGCAAAGAAATCATTACCAGCAATGAATTTTTGTAGGAAAAAATTACCTGCAATACATCTTTAAAAAAACAAAATATTACCAACAATACATTTTTGAAAAAAATATTATCAGCAATAAAAATCTCATGAGTATTAAATAACCCATTGAGATTGATATGCTGCAAAAAACAAAAACAAAAAATTAAAAAAGAAAAAAAGCAAAAGATATTTATACGTATGATCTTCCTTAGTGAAAATTGCCAATTGTTTAAGATGCTAACAACATTATCTACAATAAAAGTTAGAAAATTCAATAAACATTTTACTTAATCATTGTTTGTGTGTGACTATGTATGAGAATGTGTGAGTGAACAAGTGAGAATGAAACAAGACAAACATTTCAAGAAATGTTATTTACTTCATGAAATTAGGCGAGCCAGAAAATCAATCGGGCGACATTCGAAATCTGGCAGAGATGTGCATAGTTTCCTTTAATAAGATTTCTCGAATACTCAGGTCGGGAGACGAAAATAAATAGATATAGAGTTTAATGAATAAACATGACATCTACTTAAATATGGGCATCCATTAAAAATAATGTTTAAAGTCATAAAATCTATCGGATTAATAAATTTAAAGAAATCCATTACGTCTTTAGAATATATGTGCGTGCACATGTGTATATATATATATATATATATATATATATATATATATATATATATATATATATATATTATGAAAGTGAATGTCAGTGTGTCACACTTTTTCAACTTTACTTCTAGATGCCGTAGCCCAATATATCATAGCATTTTGGAATCAGGCCGATTCCATGAGCAAATTAAAAACATTTTCGTACCGTATCGGGACTCGCAATTCTGAAACTTTGGATTCCCAAGTTTTTATTACTGCGATTGTTTGCGTCAAATTTTTTTACGTGATATTTTGCGACAATTTTTTTGTATATAACAATTTTTATAGCTTTAAAATGAATTTGTGAATAATCGAAATTAATCGCGAAAGCCACCCATGAAATAAAAATAAATGTTTGTACGGAAAGTAAGGACCTACGTACATCAAATTGTCTTTAAATTAAGCGGCAACAGAAGAATTATCGTTTAACTTTTGAAATGTAAACTTAATTATTAATGCAATACTTAAATGCAGCAATCAATTCTGAGTTATTCTGTAGTTTATTGTTATCAAGAGCCCTTCACATGAGCTAGCTTAAATACTGCCTGATAGGGACACTTTTAAGCTAGTGTATATATATATATATATATATATATATATATATATATATATATATATAGACAGAAGGAAAACATCTTAGCAGATTTGTTTCATCCTCTAAGCCACTTTATTAAATCAGTTAAGATAAGTTTTCTTTTTATCAATATTCATATTGTTCTTTACACTAACAGATATACTCTATATGACATTTACAATCTCAGACACGCACATATAAATATATATAATTATATATTATATAATTATATATATATATATATATATAATATATATATATATATATATATATATATATATATATATATATTATTTTTTTATTTAAGAGAGATGTAAGATTAAAATTGTTCATTCCTGTTCAAATGCAATCTTTTTGTGTCTGTGTGTTCGTCCCACTGAAAAAGGCATTCAGAACGTATTTGCCCTTCTGTGTCTGTGTGTTTGCCCTGCTAACAAAGTTGTGGAACATTTACGATTTTGTGTCTGTGTGTTCGTCCCTTTTACCGCACTTCAAGACATTCAGTTGCTGTTTCCATTTTTTCTAAAATAAAGGAATAACTTTCTTTCTTTCTTTCTTTCTTTCTTTCTTTCTTTCTTTTCTTTCTTTCTTCTCACTGTGCGTGTTTCACACACATGAACAGCTACTACACTAGTTTTTTCGGCAGAAACAACGCGCTTCCGGACCTAATGTGGCACAAGGCCAAGTTTCAATTAGGGGCACCACGCGTACACGGGACCAGAGACTATAATTTATAATAAGACTATAGTCTTTTATAAAGACTATAATCTATATCTATAATTCTCAAAATGTCGTATGTGTGTGTGTCTGCGTGTGTGTGATCGGATGTTTATGTGTTTCCACAGTTTTCATCCAATTTCGATTAATTTTTTTTGCTTGATAGATAATTCTGCAGTGCCGGTTTTGAGTCCAAATTGTTGGCGACAATGGCTCTCCACTACTTCCTGTCCATTATACCTCCCGGCAACGTTTTACTATTTACTATCTAACTTTCATAAAAACTTTAATAAAAATTAATAGTCTAAAAATTATTGAAATAATATCAATATTATACAGTTCCTTTTCAGGCCCCCCATCCAAATTGTTACACCCCCCAAATTTTGGGATGTGCCTTAGTTGCATCCAATTGTTGTTGATAATAATATTGATTTTCAGGTGGGCTGTTTTTAAACTTAAAATGTTCCAATTTAATGGCAAAAATTCCCAGTAATGAAAAACCCGGTCGAAGCCGGGTTATACTGCTAGTTTTATAAGACTATAAGAAACTATAATTTATCCAGACCAGTACTTAATCTTTTGGAAACACCTCCTCGAGTACCAGTTTTCTCCCGAGTGGCCCTAGGACTGTAATTTATACAACTACAATTTTGCACCAGAGGGTTAAAAATTTCCCTTGATACGCTGCTGGTAAGAGGCATCCTATTCCGAGGCAAAAGTTTCGGTCTATATATAAATAAAACCTATTTTTACGAATCCCTGACAAGGGTAAAATAACAAGGCAGACTGTTCTCCCTAGCCTTGGATGACAGCTAGTTTCGGAGTACTTCTCTGAATTGAAAACTTTGGAGAAGGAAACATAAAACCAACCCACTTTCTTTTGTAAGAAGTCTTGGTAATACACAGTTTATAAATATTAAAGAAAAGCAAGTCGAGGAGAGCCGTAACCACCTACGTTGTAAAAAAGTATTCTAATGAATAATGTGATACATATATCATAGAATTGAATTATCTAGGTATTAATTGACACATTTTTGTCGCAAGGTCAAAACAGCGCTTAGTGTGGCCGTCGTGAGTAGCACCCACTTCAACCCACAATGGAATAGGCGTTCAGGAGGGTAAAGTTATTAGATTTTCGCGTAGTATGTCGAAACTTGTTCTTTGTTATCTTAAATGCGTAAAGACGGGTACGGGTGGCGGGGTTCGGAACTATTAATCTTTTCCTGTATATCAATCATACTTATTATAAAACCCAGGTTGTGTGTGTGTGTGTGTGTGTGTGTGTGTGTGTGTGTGTGTGTGTGTGTGTGTACGTTTATATATTGGATCGTATTTTCTACATTTTTCAACCGATTTCAACAAAACTTCACAGGACTACATAAAATTACCTTGCGGTGGCTCTGACAGCGCCAAAAAAATGGGAAAAACCCAATTGTTTTTGCACAAAATCAATTTGAAAACACGATTAAGAGACACCGGGGGAATGAAAGGGCGACAATTCATATCGAGTTATACTTATTATAAAACCCAGGTTGTTTGTGTGTGTGTGTGTGTGTGTGTGTGTGTGTGTGTGTGTGTGTGTGTGTGTGTTCGTTTATATATGAGATTGGATTTCCTACATTTTTCAACCGATTTCAACAAAACTTTTTTTTACAGGTAGTGTTTCTTATTGTCTTGCACACTTTCTTCTTTATTTTTACATTCAGAATGCTTTAAAAATTCCATTTACAAGACAATTGTTTATAATAAAATTCTATTCAATCGATGGACTCATAACGATTGAAAAACAATGTTTTTGTTTGAGTTTGGGTTTGACCAATTCGTAAAAAAAAACAAAAAAACAAAAAAAAAAACTAATTAAGACATGCGTGTCCGTCAACCTTAAACAATAATCTTTGTCAATTTTATTTTTCAGTCTTTATGATGGTCGATACTTGATCTATCTCTTACTGTTACATCCCCGGGCAACGCCGGGCTCTACTGCTAGTATATAT